GGGGGGGGGGGGGGGGGGGGGGGGGGATCGAGGATTTTGTGCGAGAAGCTTCAAAAGCTCCGAATCTATGGCGGAAATGGATGGTTCATTTGATGTTATAGAAGAGTTGACGAATATGAGAAGGGCGATCCAAATTTCGTGCCCTAATAAGGCTGGGCCCAATATGAAAGGGCTCCACAGGGGACAGTTTTGGAAGTTTATTCCAAAAAGTTATCTGCAGGTTTGGTCATCGAGATCAACCTCGGGACTGTAGATTCATGGCGGACCGCCGGAAATGGCGACGTCGCCGGAAAGACAAGCGTAGGGTAAGCAAATTGCGTAGTTTAAAGCGGAATTATTGAGGGTTTGTCTATCTGATTTATATATATTTTAATCCTTGGAGAAGAAAAAAGGCGAAAAAGGAATCCGCGTAGTTGCAATGGCTACGGCAGCTCCACCCTGCGATGGTGGGGAGTGAGGTCATAACGACGTTAACAGCTGATTGACAGTAGCATTTAGAGCTAAAAAACAAAGAGGAAAAGGAAGAGAGAGAGAGAGAAGGGGCGGATGAAGCAAAAGTTAAAAGGAAAGTTGTATATATAAGTTAGGTTGTGTATCATATTTTATTTTCCATTGTTGAGTTGCTTTCTTGTTCTTTGTGTTTCTTTCCAACTCACAGGGAAGTGAATGAGCGAGGAACTGCATTTCCTTTCTATTTTATTATATTTTGAAGGCCGCATCGTTTTCACTCCTTGTTTCATCATCTGCTCACTATTTCAGACCTTCCTCTGCTCATTTTCAACTGTTCTTACGCTTACACTCAGGTAACCTTGTGTTCTTCCTCCTATTCTTCTCTGGGTTTGGATTGCTTTCCAGAATTGAATTTGGCCCTTTCTTCTTCCTGCTGTGCTGCTGCCAATCTTCTCGTGTCTGTTACTGCTTAGAATTACTAGAATTATACGTTTGGCTCTCTTTTTTGCTTGTTTCTAAGTGAGTCTTGTGGGAGAAACTGATGGAAATTTGAAGTGTTGTGTTCATAATTCAGTTGAATTTGATTCGTGATTAGAAACCCAGTTTTCAATTTTGTTTTGGAATGAAGGTAGGGGGATTAGAAATGTGACAGAAGCTATGGAATGATCAGCTTTGTAGTTCACTTATATCAATTATTCTGTATGACCGACATACCTTTTTCGAAGTTGGAAGATGTCTGTATTGTCTTACTTTTTCACTTCTTACATTTGTTTCTCTTTTCCATCTTTTCAGTCCATTTTACTCTTATGATTGGTCAGCAGAGTATGAGCTCTTCATCAGCTCAGCTCTATGCATCAAGGATGGGCATCTATGAGCCATTTCACCAGATCAACTCATGGGGTAATGCCTTCGGTACTCGACTCGATACCAGCATATCGCCTATTATAAAAGTGGACGACTGTGTAGACAATAAAGTGAGAATACTCTAAATTGGGTCTTTGTTAGAAAATCTGAGTTCCAAGGTTGTTCTCTTGTTGTTGGATTCTGGTAATTTTTGTTTCCTGACTTTGTAGCCTGAGTTCGTTCCTTTCGAATCGATGGATCATCACGAGAGCAGTCAAGAAACGAACAAGCCAATCGATGATAAGGTGAATAGAGTCCAAGCAAGCTCTCTCTATCTCTCTCTCTCTCTCGTGTATAATCTTCATTTCCTTTGTTCTTTTCATCCTTTTTGCACTAAATTCTGTGTACATCATCCAATACACATATGCAGGTACAACGTCGTTTAACACAAAATCGAGAAGCAGCTCGTAAAAGCCGTATGAGGAAAAAGGTGCTGAAAGACAATCATCTGTACAAGTTTTTGTTGATACCTGATATATGATTTGAGGACTTATTGAAGTTTGTCTTGCAGGTTTATGTACAGCAGTTAGAAACTAGCCGTTTGAAGCTGGCACAGTTGGAGCAGGAGCTAGAAAGAACCAAACAGAAGGTAAGATGGAATGGAGGTGTGAGATCCCACATCGGTTGAAGAGGAGAACGAAACATTTCTTATAAGGGTGTGGAAACCTCTCCCTAGCAGACACGTTTTAAAAACCTTAAGGGGAAGCCCGTAACGGAAAACCCAATGAGGACAATATCTGCTAGTGGTGGGCTTGAGTTGTTACAGGAGGTCATCTTTCTTACACGGTCTCTATTGGTTATCCAATTAAAACATGAACTCTTTGTTGCAGGGTGTATACACAGCAAGCTGCTTAGCAGATACCAGCCACTTGGGATTCAGCAGATTGGTAAACCCAGGTTTGTGATTCCATGTCTAATAACTTAGAGCTTTCATTAACCAGTTGAGCTTACCTGGAAGGCTTAGCCTTCCTTCATTTCTTTATCGTTCGACTAAACGGCTTCCTAATGTTAACATACTTCCGTTGTTCGTGAATCGAACGGCAGAAGGTCTTTATTTCTCTGGTTCCAATCTGAGATTTGTGGTATTAACTTCCAGGGATTGCTGCATTTGAGATAGAATACAATCACTGGGTTGAAAAGCAAGAGAGACAGATCACTGAACTCAGAAAGGCATTGCAGCAAGTTCATATAATAACTGATACAGAACTCCAAATTTTAGTGGAAAGCGGCTTAAACCATTACCATAATCTGTTTTGCATGAAAGCCAATGCTGCAAAGGCTGATGTTTTCTATTTAATGTCTGGTGTATGGAGATCATCAGCAGAGCGTTTTTTCCTGTGGATTGGAGGATTTCGGCCATCGGAGCTGCTAAACGTAACGACTTACCTCACACTTAGCTCGATCTTCGACAATTCTTTTTGGTTACATTAGAAGCATGTTATGCTATGCTATGCTATGGTATGTTATGTTTTGTTTGATACGTGGGAACAGGTGCTGACGCCATACTTTGAGGCATTAAATGAACAACAACAGAGCGCTATTCACAATTTGCAGCAGTCGTCTCGGCAAGCTGAAGACGCGCTCTCACAGGGAATGGAAAAACTGCACCAGAATCTATCCCTCAGCATTGCCAGCGATCCTATAGGAAGCTATATTTCTGAGATGGGTGATGGAATGGAGAAAGCAGAAGCATTGGAGAGCTTGGTAAGGCAGGTATGTAATGTAATGCATATTCTTCTCACTATGGACTGATCTTCATCCTAGAGTATGATGATAAGTAAGTTTTTTGGTTCGATCCCGATCCCGAACCCTCACTCGTTCAGCCGAGTGTGTGCTACTCTTTTCTGGAACAGGCAGACCATCTGAGGCAACAAACTTTGAAGAGAATGTCCCACATCCTAAGTACGAAACAAGCGGCGCAAGGGTTGGTCGCTTTAGGCGAGTACTTCCACCGTCTCCGTATTCTGAGCTCCCTCTGGGCCACTCGACCTCGTGAACCTGCGTAGGCATGGGCATGGGCATGGAAGGGTGAGACATGTTATGTTCCAGTGACCCAGCATATAAGTGAGATTATATACTATACTTGTGCCTCTTCTTTATGTAGAAAAGGGATACAAATCCTGATAATATAAGTTCCAGTGCTACCCACATTTTAGTAAGCCACTTTTCTGGTTTTCGGAATGTAAATATGTTATAACAACTTTGTTCATTAATTTTATCTATTTTTCTCTACTCTCACACTCCTCATATTTCGCTTCTAGGTACATACATAATTCCATAATATTTATTTTATTTATTTATTTATTTATGGAACGTTATTAAAAAAAAAAAAAAAATTACTTAAAAAACAACTTGATATATAAATTGGTAATTTATAAAATCCGTCATAAAACAGAAGCACTCTCACTTTAAAATATTTATTTTTACAATCTTATTTAGCGAAAAAATTAATGGTAAAAGTAAATTAATTTAAATATATGATGTAGTTTTTATCATTGATTTAATTTGTGTGTTAATTCGTCCTCTGAATAAATTTATTATAAAAATAATTAGTTTGATGTCTTTTTTATTTTTCAATTTGTATTGGACATATGTTTTATAATTCTTTCAGTTAAAATTATAACATTACCACGCCAATCTAGGGTTAATTTTGATAATTTTTTTTTTCTTATATTCATATACAAATACTATTTTTTAATAATAATTTTATAGTTGATTTTTTTTTTTTTTTTTAAATTTTACGGAAATAGAAAATATTTTTAAAAATTGAAAAGAAAAGAAATAAGGAGTAAAAAACTTAGTTGAGAAAATAAACATCAAAAAGAAAATTGTGATGGAGCCAAATCTGACTTTGTAACAAAACGAAATCGGCTTCATTGAAATGAATCAAACTCGGAGATTTGGCCTTACAAAGAACAGCTGCTAAAAGTAGAGGGAAAAGAAAGAATCGAAGGCAGGAGAACGATAAAGATGATGATCGTCAAATTGAGCACTGTGAAGATGCAGAGATCATGGCAAGTGCTGGTGCTTGTCCTCGTTTCACTCTTATCACTCCCATCCTCTTCCTTTTCGACCGCGGACCTGCCTCTCTCGGCGGATGGAAAGGTGTTGGAGCTCGACGAATCCAATTTCGATCACGCCATTTCATCATTTGATTACATATTGGTCGACTTTTATGCCCCATGGTGCGGCCACTGCAAGCGTCTTTCTCCAGAGGTTCCTTATTCCCTTCGTGTTCTCTCTTCCATTTTTTTAGATTATCCTGCGTATTGGTACTCTCAATTCTATATTTCTCCGATATAGTTTGATTTCATTCCGGAATCCAGATTAGTGTTGAGGATTTGTAGGTAGAAGTTTCTTTATAAATTTATTTAGGCATCTTAGACTCCCAGTTTGTAGATTATGACACTTTGCTCTGCGATACTATCACTAACAAGCTTAAAAATCTCTCTATTTCCTTTGATTGTCAGCGATTGGGAATTTACTTGTAGAGTTCTTTACTAGTGTTCTTGGCTGTCGGTCTGCTTAGCATGGTTCATTATTTGTACTGCGAATGTTACTCTGCACCCATTCTGAGTATGCATTCTTTTCTTATCTTAATTTTTTTCTCCGTTTGTGTAGTTGGACGCTGCTGCACCTCAGCTTGCCAAATTGAAGGAGCCTGTAGTTCTAGCAAAAGTGAACGCTGACAAGTTTACTGGTCTTGCTAAAAAATATGACGTTGAGTATGTCACTGACTCTTACTCATATGTTCAATGTAATAAACTATGTTGGTTTATTTGCAATAAGTTTGGAGTTTAGTTGTGCCTTTTTGTACGAATCTCCAGGAGACCATTCCCCTGGTATTCATTAGCAAAGGGTAAACCATGATTCTCTTCTAACTACATTTAACATATATTTCTTTTGTAGTGCCTATCCTACAATCAAGATCTTCATGCATGGCATCCCAGTAGACTATTATGGACCAAGGAAAGCCGAGTTAATCGTCCGTTATCTGAAGAAATTTGTTGCTCCAGACGTCTCAATTCTCGAGTCGGACTCATCAATTAATGAGTTTGTTGAAGCTGCAGGGCCTTACTTCCCTATCTATTTGGGATTTGGTTTAGATGAGTCTGTTATTTCTAAATTCGCTATTAATTACAAGAAGAAGGCCTGGTTTTCAGTGGCAAAGGGTTTCTCAGAGGATATCATGGTGTCTTATGATTTTGATAAAGTTCCTGCTTTGGTTTCTATCCATCCAAGTTACAACAATGAACGGAGCATTTTTTATGGTCCCTTTGAAGGTTGGTTTGTCTATCAACTACCCTAATCTATCAAGTTACCTAGATTGTTTAATGTAACAGTTACTTAATTTCTTGAATCTGGCATTAGAAGTTTACATTCTTTTGAATGTTTCATGCATCGTTGATAGGAATTTTAGTATTATTTTTGCACTGGCTAAGTCACTTGTTCAAGGAAAAAGTTGGAACTCTAAAGAATTTTCCGGAAGGAACATATGTGGCTTGGAGGCTTATGAGATCAGAGATTATTGATATTTATATGAACTCTTAAAGAAGCTAAGTTCCCAACTGCTTGAATTCTGATCTGTTGCTAGGCCTGCTTGAGTTCTTACCATTTCCTTGAACATCCCAATAACATTTCTTGTACGCGTAGTTGTGTATATATAGAACTTCAGGTGCATGAACGTTCATCTTTCAGGGATTAACTCTCTGTCGTTGATATGTTATGTACTCTGGATAAAATGGTTTAAGTCTTTCTTTTTGAACTGTACAGAACAATTCTTGGAGGAATTCATAAAACAAAGCATGCTTCCTCTCGTTCTGCCCATAAACTACGACACTCTTAAGCTACTAAAAGATGACGAGAGGAAAATAGCGCTCACAATTGTGGAGGATGAGGATGATGACCAGACAAAGAATTTAATCACTTTATTAAAGGCTGCTGCATCTGCAAATCGCGAATTGGTGTTCGCTTATGTTGGGTCTAAACAGTGGGGAGAATTTACTGATTCATTCGGAGACAAGAAGACCACACTGCCAAAAATGGTCATTTGGGATGGGAAAGACGATTACTTAATGGTAAGTCCTCTTTGAAGGCAAATGATACTGTATATCATGTTCATTAAATCATTTCGATTTAGATTTTGACATCCATATGTGATAACGTTCAATAATAACTCATGCATGTATCTAGTCGAAGAAACAAGTTTTCTTTAGTAGGTTTAGTGATTTTGAAAAAATTATTTACTCAGTCCACTAAATTGTGCAGCTAGATGAGTTGTTCTCAAATATCTGAACCGTAGCATTGAGTTTCAAATGAGATTAGAAGTAGTTTGCTATAGCTTTAGACAGTGTAGAATTAATATTCTTCAGCCTATCTACTCAGCTCGCTATTGTTCACAGGAGAAAAATAGTTATTTTGTCGAGGATTAAGTAGACATAGCTAATAAGGAACCAGAACCAAAGCTTGAATGAAAGCAGTTTCCTTTTAGGAAATTTTATTGGATTCTCCTTGGAAAGCTGAAAAGGCAGAGCCCGTGGTAAGTAGTTCAATGAAGAGTTTCATTGAGGTTCGATTAAACTAAGAAGATTGTAACCATGGTCCAACAATGATATTTGCATTGGCAAATGGCACGAGGTTGCTGTCCTTTTCACCTTCTTCAAGGGACAATATATGTTAGATTATTTATAAATCCTTTTCACCTTGTTAAAGCTTTGCTGGGAGTTGGAGATCCAACCAAGCTGGACTCTACATTTACAGTGCGTTGCTGTCCAGTGTTTAGAAAGTCTACCCAAATTGAAGATAGAATGCTATTGAGTATAGGAAACATTTTTTTCATTCCTTCCCAGGAGGTCAGTAAAAAGTTAGGAATCCTCAAGAAATTCATTTTTTAGGAGTTGAAGCCGTTCTGCTAAAAAAACAGATGAAGTTGCGAAAGTGAGAGGTGGAGTTGGTCCAAAGGTGATGTTATTCTTATATTCTGTACTCTTCTTACTAAGATGGTAGTACTTCTGTTGCTCCCCAAGTACTATGATTTATATGGTTTTTGGCTTGGTTTAAAACAGACTAATAGTTCTAAAGATTCTTTATACTAGATTAGGCTTAAAACCACTCGTACTGACATAGTCGAGTGAGTGTTTTCTCGTTTTTTCGAAGAGTAAAGTGTCAGCTTTTTAGATGATGTTTCTGTCAATACCCTTATTGATGAAGAATCAGTTGATTATCCGTAGAGCATTTCTGTTCCTCTTTCTTCCTGGAGACGACTATTCTAGTCTAGATCTGAAAGAACCATTTATAGTTCACAAGCTGAATCAAGTGAAATCATGGAGACTATGCTACTGTGAGATATGAGGATTAGTTCTAAAAGAAAATTGTAAAGAAATCCAACTGCTGTTATTTCTGTTATTATCACTCCATCATATGCATGGCTGATTGATGGATATTCTTTTGCCACTCCGTTGGCCTTAGTATGGTAATTTCCTTGTATGTCATTCATCTAATAAATTATTCCCTATCATTACAAAAAGTCGTTGACATTTCTTGTTTATGAATCTGATTGAGTGTTTGATCGTTGATGAAAATATTCATACGTTTAGATTCTATGCTAGCTGTGAAGTTGGCTCTAGAATTAGAAGACTATAATTTTTCTTAACATATGCATCACGTAATTTAAAATGCATTACTGACATTTTTAGACTACATTTCATTCAAATAAAATCCCAAAGAAACGTGAACGAGCGTAGCATACTGTGGGAGTTAAACTTCTGTTGTTGTGTTTGATAGGTTACTGGTTCAGAGAGCATCACTGGGAACGACTATGCATCTGAAATCTCAAAATTCATTGAAGGATATAGGGAAGGGAGAACTGAAGAAAGAAGAGTAGCGGGTCCTGCAATTATTAGCTTCATAAGTTCACTCATGGGCATCAGGAGTGTATATATCATTGTAATTATTGTTGCAGGAATAATGCTTTACAGGACCAAAGATGACGATAACGAATATCGCAGAGTCGATACTCCTGCTCGAGACCAGGCTGACCAAAGTAGCAGCTCTAACTCACATGTTGAAAGGACTGAATATAGGGCTGGTGACAAGGAAGATTGAATGTGAATTTTGGTGAATTTGTCATTAGCAGGACCTTTGAACGGCCTAGAAAAAGCAGACATGGCAAGTGATGAAGTTATCTTGGAAGCGATGGCTGTGAAATAACCGATGAAATGTGTAATTTGGTG